AAAAAAAAAAAATTCTATTGCTCTTTGTTTTAAAAAAGGTTATAAAAAATGTCAATAATTATAGATACCGAACGATATTAAACATTATATCGTTGATAAATTTTTTAGCTATATCGCCCAGCCCTAGTTTAATATATCATGCAGCCTTGGGAAACAGTCTAATAATGTGTTTTATGGATTCTCGTCCGTGAAATGCCCCACTTCCGGTATTTTGCCGGTTTGTCGACTCAGCAAAATGAAGTCGAGGATTTAAAAAAATCGAATAGTCGAATAAAATCAACGAATCGCGACAGCCCTAAATATTATATTATATATGCAGTATTATACTAAAAACTATGTATTGTATTTATAAATGAGGACATTCATAAATGTCGTGTAATGGAGGTTTTCACAGCTTTGATAAGTGAAAGTGACGTGACATGTGGCCAAGTATGGTGACCCATACTCGGAATTAGTGCTCTGCTTTTATCCCATCCAAAGTGCACACACACAGCAGTGAACACAAAGCCGGAGCAGTGGGTGTGATTCACTTGATTCACTTAATATTGTCTACTGGTGCGTTCAAGTCATGTCGGATAGATCGTGTTTAGGAGTTGAACGCACATGAACGCCACCACAAAGTCGTTATTACGAGTGGGAAACTCAAAATTTTCTTTAAGCCCCGAGTTTCCGAGTTGGGGGTGTGTCAATGAGAAACATGGCGGAATCGATGGCTGCAACGTCTAGTTGACGGTAAATTTTTGTTTAAATTGATAGTTTAGTTGTCCTATAAACTTAAATGGGTCATGTTCTTGTTACGCAGCTAGTTAATGAAATCCAAGTACAAAATGCTATAATTTTTGCACCTATAGGTGAAAAATCTTTTGATTTGCCTTGTTGCATGTTGCATTTAGCTAACAGCTTTTTTTAATCTCTGTATTTTAGCATTTGTTGATGCTGAAAATCAGTTATACTGGGATCCTGGTCTAAAAAAAAATATTAAAAACGCAAAACACTCCTGATGCGAATTCTTTGCTCTTCATTTTCTAAAAGCAGAGTTAACAGACCCTGTTGTATTTTCTTGTAATTTATTAAAAGAAGGTACACCGCCATCTTGTGCCGACTAAACTGACTTGAACGCACCTGACGTTGTAATCATTTTTCGTCGTCGTCTTCGTTGACGAAATTAACACTGACCCAAACAACCACGCCCCTATTTTGAAATCTCAACCCCACACGTGCTTACGCAACCATGGCAACGACGATAGCGGAAACAAGCGACGATGACACACGAGCATATTCAAACAAAAGCCAACAAGGATAAGTTGTGTGAAACGAAGCTAACTCAAGGTTACTCACCAACGCAACCTCGGCGTCCAATTCGAGCCCTTCTCTGCTCCTTGAGTTCTCTCCACTGCTGGATATTTACGCAGGTCCCGCCTCTTGCCTGATTGTAACCCTTCTTTTTAATGTTTTGTTTCTCGGATATTTCCCCCTTTTTTTATCTGCCATCTCTCTCTATCTATAGTCGATCTGCTAATATCCGTCCTGTGCACTTGAGTGCTCTCTTCTGTCGAGCATTGCAAGACACGCCCCCTTACTGCTGATTGGCTGCAAGTGAGTTTTGGGACTCGGTCCGACGCTGTTTTTCAAAAATCACTTATTAGGGCACCTTTAAGTAGCACAGGTATATTTGTAGCAATAGCCAACAATACATTGTATATCCATTTCTCTTTTATGCCAAAAATCATTGGGATATTAAGTAAAGATTGTGTTCCATGAAGATATTTAGTAAATTTCCTACCGTAAATATATCAAAACTTAATTTTTGATTAGTAATATGCATTGCTAAGAACTTCATTTGAACAACTTTAAAGGCGATTTTCTCAATATTTAGATATTTTTGCACCCTCAGATTCCAGATTTTCAAATAGTTGTATCTCGGCCAAATATTGTCCTATCCTAACAAACCAAACATCAATGGAAAGCCTATTTATTTAGCTTTCAGATGCATACATCTCAGTAAAAAAAAAAAAAAAAGACACTTATGACTGGTTTTGTGCTCCAGGGTCACAAATATGGTTTTGTTTGGTGCTAAAAAGGGTTCTTTTATTGTTAAGTGCCAAGAACCACACCCAGAAGGCTTGCACCATTGGCGCATAATGAAATTACATTTTCACAGACATCATAATTAACAAACCCAGATTCTGCAGCCTGAGGTGACGCTCGTCATATAGAGAAGTTATAGGTTGCTTATGCAACATTTTCATAGTAATTAAACACAACTTTCACTAGCGTTTTTAAATTAATGTTAGGACAAAATGTTCTTAAAGCAATGTTTATGGAATGATCTTATAACTTTTAATATATATATATATATAATTCATATTTGATTTATGTTCTCATAACGTTGAGAGAAAGCATTCTGAGATCAACATTCTCTGGGTAAATAAATAATGTTCTACTCACAAAAAGAAAACTGGACGTTTTCTTAGAACATTTAAAATAAACATTTAAATAGTATTACATTTTGGGTAAAATAAACTTAGTAGAACATTGCAAGAAACATTTTTGTAACCTTTAAATAACATTATATTCATGACAAGAAAACTGGACATTTTAGCGCTCTTGGAATATTAAAAATAAACATTCAAATAACAACATAATTTCAGGTGAAAATAAAGTTAGCAGAATTTTGCAAGAAACGTTTTGTACCCTTTAAAACACATTCTAATCACGACAAGAACTGGACATTTTAACGTTTGTAGAGTATTTAAAAAATAAACATTCAAATAGTGTTATATTTTGGGTGAAAATAAAGTTAGTAGAATGCTGTTAAACACATGTTGTAAACTTTAAATGTTATAATCACAACATTTTAGAAACAACATTTTTTCTAAGCTAAATTTACAGTAGCTACTGACTCGTTTATGCGAGTGTTTGTGGGGAAACACCTGAGACTAAGTTCACACATGACACTGAGAACTAATTTAAATCTTATAAGCAACTAAAACACAGTTGGTTGAGCTGGTTAAATGTCTAAATCACACTCTCCATGTGTCAGTGGAAGATGAAGTGTTGTCCGTGTGACTCTCGTAACCCGGCGGCGTATAATGCGCACACGATCCAGAACGTGATCTCCAGCGCCGGGCCCAACCGATGGTGGCAGTCTAAGAAAGGTAAGGCATCAAAACATTACATTAAACATAAATTACAACAATAGGATACACTATTAAGCTATAAGCCAGTAGTAGTTCTGACAGTGTCGTGTAAACATGGACGAATAAGGCACGAAAAGCGGAGGAACAAAAAAAATCGATTCAATTTAGTGAGTCATTTACTCTGGATCCACTCCGGGTGATTCAAACTCATGACTTCGATCATTCAGTTCAAGCAATTCTCTAGCAAAAGAACAGATCAAAAGAGCCGTTCATTTTCGAATTTCGACATCGCTTGTAACGGAGCTTTTCGAAACTCCGAATCAGTTAAACCGCTGCGTCTCAAAATGATTCACTGTTTTGAAGCGTTCCAATCGGATCGCAAATCATTTGATTCAGATCGGGACTTCAGAGCGTGTATTGCGAATCATTTGATTCAGATGGGAAGCAGGTTCGTGAATCTTTTGACTCTATTTCGCAAATCATTATTCAGATCGGAATTCCGGACCGTGAATAGCGAATGATTTGATTTAGATCGGAACTTCGGAGCGGGTTCGCGAATCTTTTGATACAGATCGGAACTAAGCAGGTGAATCTTTTCATTCAGATCGGGACTCTAGTTCACGATCAAATTATTATTTAGATTGGAACTTTGGAGCGGGTTCGCGAATCATTTCATTCAGATCGCAAACAAGCGGGTTCGTTAATCCTTTGATTCAGATCGAAACTAAGCGGGTGAATCTTTTCATTCCGATTGGGACTCTAGTTCACAACCGAATTGTTATTTAGATTGGAACTTTGGAGCGGGTTCGTTAATCTTTTGATTCAGATCGGAACTAAGCGGGTTCGTTAATCTTTTGATTCAGATCGGGACTAGTTCGCAGTCGAATCATTTGTTTTAGATCGGAACTCCAGAGCAGGTTCACGTATTTGATTCGGAACAGAACTAAGCAGGTTTGTGAATCTTTTGATTCTAATCGGGACTCTAAAAGTTCGCGAATCATTATTCAGATCGGAACTCCAGAATGCGTATCGCGAATCATTTGAATTCAGATCGGAACTAAGCGGGTTCGTGAATCTTTTGATTCAGATCGGGACTAGTTCGCAATCTAATCATTTTATTTAGATCAGAACTCCAGAGCAGGTTCACGTATTTGATTCAGAACGGAACTAAGCAGGTTCGTGAATCTTTTGATACAGATCGGGACTCTAGTTCATGATCAAATTGTTATTTAGATTGGAACTTTGGAGCGGGTTCGCGAAACATTTCATTCAGATCGGAACTAAGCGGGTTCGTTAATCTTTTTATTCAGATCGGGACTAGTTCGCGATCTAATCATTTGTTTTAGATCGGAACTCCAGAGCAGGTTCACGTATTTGATTCGGAACGGAACTAAGCAGGTTTGTGATTCTTTTGATTCTAATCGGGACTCTAAAACTTCGCAAATCATTATTCAGATCGGAACTCCGGAGCGCGTATCGCAAATCATTTTATTTAGATCGGAACTTCGGAGCGGGTTCACAAATCATTTGATTCAGAACTAAGCGGCTTCGTGAATGTTTTGATTCAGATTGGGACTCTAATACTTCGCGAATCATTACTCAGGTCGGAACTCCGGAGCGCGTATCGCAAATCTTCTAGATCGGAGCTTCGAAGTAGGTTCGCAAATCTTTTGATTCAGATCACAGTACCAAACTGTATTGTTTAGAAAATATTCAGTACATACTTTAAATTAATTTAAACTTTAACTTTAATTAAATACTTCATATTTATTCATATAAAAATAAATAACATGTAAACCATTTAAGGATTATGCAAAGCAATTTTACAGTGATTGTGTGTTTATTCCAGATGTGAGTCCCGTGGCGCTGCAGCTGGATTTAAATGGAATGTATCACCTGGAAACCGTCTTACTCTCTTTTAAGGTATCTGATATCCATCTCGCTGTCTTTAATTTATGAAGCACTGTTTTCTAACGCCTCATCTGTCGTCCCGTAGGGCCCGAGGCCTGATGCGCTGATCGTCGAGAGGACGAGGGATTTCGGTCGCTCTTGGCAGCCCGTCCTGTACATGGCCACCAATTGCCCATCCACCTTTCCTCAGGTGAGCACTTCGTTCCCTCGCACCCTCGAGGAAACGTACTGCTACACGCTGCCATCCACCGCCGACGACCCCTACAGGGACCAGAAGGTAAGACAGTCTGCCTTTCACTTACGTTTTTTTAAAAGTTTTATAAATGTTGACAAAATGTTCTTAAAGTAATGTTTATGGAACATTCTTACAACTGCATTAATATTTGATATACGTTCTCATAACGTTAAGAAAATGTTCATCGAAAAAAAAATTTGGAACATCCACATAACGTTATTTATAGAGGATGAATGCTCATAACATTTTGTGAAAGCGTTCTTGTAATATTAAAAATTAACATTCAAATAACGCATTTTGGGTGAAAAAAAACGGTAGTAGAACATTGTAAGAAACCTTTATATAACCTTCGAATAACATTCTAATTATTACAAGAAAACTAGACTTTTTAACGCACTTAGAATATTAAAATACATGTTCAAATAACACTATATTATGGGTGAAAATAAAGTTAGTAGAACATGTTTTGTAACCTTTAAATAACGTTTAATCACAACAAGAAAACTGGACATTTTAAAGTTTGTAGAATATTAAAAATAAGTGTTCGAATAACGTTATATTGTGGGTGGAAATAAAGTTACTAGAATGTTGTAGGAAATGTTTGAGGAACATTTAAGTAACGTTTAAACATACATTAAACATCTTAACATTCTTGGAATATTAACAATAAACAGTCAATAAGGTTATATTATGGGTGAAAGCATAATTAGTAGAACATTGTAAGAAATGTTTTAGGAACCTTTAAATAACGTTCTAATCATGTAAAGAAAACTGGACATTAAAAAAAAAAAAAATTTTTTTTTAAATAAATAAACGTTCAAATAATGTTATGTTTTAGGTAAAAATAAAATTGGATGAATATTTAAAAAAAAAAACAGCTATTTTAACCTTTAAATAATGTTCTAATCATGACAAGAAAATTAGACATTTTTTAATATATTAAAAATAAATGTTCCAATAACGTTATGTTTTGGTAAAATTAAGTTAGGAGAATGTTGTTTTTGTAACCTTTAAATAACGTTGTCACGACAACCAATCTGAACATTTCAACGTTTTAGAATGTTCAAGATAAACATTCAAATTTTCGGTTAAAAGGAATGTTAGTAGAACATTGTAAGAAACATTTAAATAACGTTATAACCACGAAAAGAAAACTAGACATTTTAACGACAACGTTTTTATAACCTAAATGTGTTCGCTCAAGTTGACGTTTCTTTTCTCTTCTCAGATTCACTTTTATCCTCTGCGTCAGTTCGCGGACATCGATCTGCCGAATGAATACAAAATCGAAGGTGAGTTATTTGGACTTTCTCAGATGATCGCAGTATTAACGAAGTGCGCGGATGATTGACGGCTGCTCTGTCCCTCAGTGGCGTCTGGGTTCACGGGTCTGCGGGTCAATCTGACCCAGCTGGGGTCGGTTTCCAGCATGCCGGGCCGCCGTCTGAACCAGTTTTACGCCCTGCGAGAGATGCGGGTGATCGGATCCTGCTTTTGCCACGGACACGCCAACCGCTGCAGCGACCTGCCCAACACACAGGTCACACACACACACACACACACAC